CGTGTGCCGCAGGCGATGGCGCAATTTGTTCTAAAAATAGAATTATTGTCCCATATCATGGGGACAACCCCAATACTAGAAATGGCGCGCGCTTACTGTCTCCGTCCCCGATTATGGCTCCTGGTGTTACACCATTGCTGAACTGGGTAACACGAGTGCTACGGGCTCACGTAATTTTGTCACTTTGTCAGGATTAAAATAGTAGTTGTGCTTATTTATTCCAAATTGCACCCGAAATCATATGACTACCTCTCGTACTAGTTTTTGCTAATTTTCCTCAATGTTATTTACTCTTCACGGGTGATTCGCGAGTTAAAAAGGAGCGGTCGCAGGTTTTACAAGGTCTCTGTTAGAGAAAGGTAGTTCAGATCAGCTTGAATTAGATTTGTCTGTCAAGAAATTGTTGTCTCAGCACAAGTGGAGAATTGAGAACACACGAATTAGGGGTGAAAAAAATTCAAACCACCCCTACAAAGCAGGATCCCGGTACCTCTTAGGGGTTCTTTTCAAAGTTTTCGACAGGCATCTCCGTTCTTTTTATAAAGGAGTCTCCCTGGGCTTTGAGAGGCACAGTTGAACTTGAGAAGGTTTTCAGGAGCATATTCTAGAACTTTGCGAAAGAAAGCCTGCCACATCAAGCAATGTGTTTTACAAGTATGTCGACGTCGTTTCCATTCTACACAAAATCTATTGTTTTTTTACTGTAAATACACATACATTTTTTGCTGCGTTTTCGCGTAACATTCACACTAAAACGACAGATACCGTCGATGAAAATCATGTCGGGAACTCTCGACACGCTATTAAGGGTGAAGGCTTCTGAAACCGCCAATATTGTTACATACATACATACATACATAATTTATTTGACTAAAGCAGGTTGGAGATCAAAATTGGCAAGACGCTAAGTCCTGATGTGGACCTGCACTATCTAAAATAAGGATATTTTAAGGATGTTTTAAGGATAGTGGAATGTGGCGAAAGCGGAGACTGTTTAAAACCATGGAAGTGCTCGTTTCCGTCCAAGACTGTAATCATCATGTGATTAACAGACTAATTCCTTCGATTGATCGACTTCTTAACCTTCTGACTGACTGGACCCTTTCCTGACTGGCTATTTTAACAACTACCTGCCTGTCAGACTAACTACAGACTGGTTTCCTAAAGCTGACATGTAAGGCAAAACCTCTGTGACTAACGTTCCTCAAACTTCGTTATCAATGAAGATGTGCTATGACCACCTGCCAGATTGTTGCTTCTTTTCGGAAACAAAGTTTGCACGAGACTTAAGCCCTGCTCGAACGGACTCGTAGAGACTTGCGTCGGGTGGCCAAACGGACTCGCAAGTTTCCTCGCAAGCGAGGTACACGCTGGTCGCAAAAAAACCCATTTCAAGGCAGACATATCCTGCATTTCATTGGCTAATAATAGGTTAATGGACGTCACTCAACTTGCGTTGACTTGGTTTGGGTGGCCAAACGGTGAAAAACTTGCGTCGACTTGCGTGCAAATTTGAACTCGACCATAGTGAGCAAGTCATCGCAAGTCAACGCAAGTGCACGCAAGGCCTGGCCAAACGGAGTCGCAAGTAGACACAAGTTGAGAACTTGCGTCTACTAGCGACTCCGTTTGGCCAGGGCTTTAATCAGTGCGACCCATTATTGACTCATGAAGAAAACTCGTTAAAAAATACACTGAAGTTTTAGAAGTTTTCATCAGCTTTTCGTGGAGGCACGGTGGCCGAATGGTTAGCAGGCTACTCTGGACTCCAGATCGAGCAGTTATGCTTTCGAGTCCTGGCTAGGGTCATTGCCCTAATCCTACCTCCCACAGTGCTTCTCTCCAACCAGGTGCCTAAATGGGTACCAGTGAATTTAATGCTTGGGGATAACCCTGTGATGGACTAGCATCCCATCCAGGGGGAGTAGAAATACTCCTAGTTGCTCTGGCTGTGTGGACAATTGCACTGATGTCCACTTTTTTATTGACTCATAAGGAAAGCTTTTTGAAAACACATTAAAGCTTAGGAAGTTTGAATCAGCTTTTTGAAGACTGATATAAATGCACAACACATGCAGTATTATATTCCATTATTATAAATAACAATCCTTTTTTTACTGACTCATAGGAAAAGCAGATTTAAAATATACTTAAGTTTTAGAAGTTTTAATCAGCTTTTTTGGAGATTGATATAAATGCACAATGCATCCAATATTATATTCCATTATAAATAACAATGCAGTATTATTAAACACCACTAAATATCTATAACCAGATCAATTTCTATGATATGTATTGCCTTCTAACAAGAAAACTTAACAGATCCAAGAAATGGAGACAGCTCTCTGACATTACTAGCAATGACGTCCACTTCTTCCTCACTTGGTAAAAAAGAGAGTCCAGAAACATCGAGCACTTCAAGAGATGGGCAAGCTAAATTGATGTGGTCCATTAGCAGTGATGTGCAGGAGACAATGTGAACTTCCTTGAGGTGCGCACTACTCAGATTGAGCTGGCATGGGCCATAACAGTTCCTCAAGGTCAGAGTCTTGACAAGGCCACACTGCTGGATTATGTCACGTAAGGGACAATCAAGGTTGCAATATTCCAAGGACATGTGCTGAATGTTACAACTGGTAAAAGCTAGTGCATTGAGATTGCACCGTTTTAAAACAAGATGGCCAATTTTCACAGGGCGTGACCTGTTTCTAAAATTCAGCTTAGTAAATTCAGCTGGCTTGACGAGATCTAACCTCCTTTCAAAATTCACCTCCAGGTATTTGACCTCCTCAGCATCAATGCTGACTTTCCGAAGATAAGGCACATCATTAAGAACAACCTTCTTGACATTCTGTGACAAGACTGACACCACTTTCAAGATGGTGGATCTAGTCATCGACTTCTTGATGAGCAACTCCTGCAGTTTAGGACAGCGAATGTCAACTGCAGTCAAACGCTCACCATTGTCAAATATTGCAACATTTTCCAGTGATGGAGTTGCATGCTGATCAAGTCTTAAACTTGACCAGTACACCTCAAGCTCTAGTAACTTGATATCTGGATTTCTAACCAAAAGGCTAATGAGTTCAGCTGGAATAAGAGCATTGCATCTTCGAACTGTCAACTCACGTAAGGAGCTTGCAGAGATTCTCCTAAAGTTGCGCACCTCAACACAGAGCGATAGACGCAAAGTCCTTAATGCAGATGCTTCAATACTCAGTTCACCCACAGAGGTACAACCATTCAAGCTAAGCTTTTTTGCATGAGGAAATGTAAAGTGGAACTTGGCAAAGTCTCCAACTTGGAAGAGCTCCACTTCCAGTAATGATTTAGAGTTCAATTGAAGCAGCTGAATGGATGGCAAACCATGAATTTGGTCATTCCCATAGCCAAATTTCCTTAGCCCTTTCAGATTCTTAACAATGTCTTTGAGATCAGAAGACTCCATTCTCACTCTCTCTAGCAACAAACATGTTACGTGGTGGCGGTACTTGGAAGACACAACGCCTTTAACTGCAGTGACAGAATCTGGTTTGATAACTGAATACTGCAAACCAAAGCTTTTCACTTGGGGAAAACCTTCGACAATGTACTGTAAATCATCTTGATTAAAAATTCCTTCTGATATCAACGAAGCTTCTAGGAACACAGTCTTCAGTGATTTGGGGCATCTCAACATTCGAAGTAGTTTCTTTGACCATGACATTCCAGTTATTTCAAGAGTATTCAAAACTGTTAGGGAAGATGCATAAATGAGTAGGATTTCTGTGAACAGTTCGTGGCATTTTTGAAGCCGCACAAGCTTGATATGACGGCAAAATCTTCTGAGGATATTTTTGAATCTGACAAAAGTAGCATTCTCGTAGCTGCAGTTTCTGAGATTTATTAGGGTGATGTCCTCCCAAAGCGTAGGATCGGGATTTGTATAGATGAGATCTCGCCACTTCTTGCAAACTAAACTTATCGTAAAAAGGTCGTCGTGTACGGGGTGAAATTTCTTGAAAATGGCCAACCACAGTTCCGATGGCAATGCGATGCCGAACTCAGCATCCCTATGACGTTCCTGCTCGAGGGAAGCCATGTTGCACTGCTCAGCCTTTCTTTCTTAGCTGTAAAAAACGGTTTCATTGCTTCTCTGTAGAAGCAGGCCATGAATTTAGTGACGGTACATCCTGTAAATTTTATCGAAGGGAGCCGCCATGTTTATTTTGCAGCCTCGTTGCAATGATGCAATAAACTTGATTTCAGCGAGGAGGTCTCAGGAAAAAGTTAACAAGTAAACCTCCAAGAGTTAAATTTCCCGGATCAGTTGTTATCGAAGAACAGGTTAACAAGTCAAATCATAAAGAGGGTTTCATTCTGGATAAAACGTTTGAAATACGTCCTCCAAGAAAAGAAAAGAAAAGAAAAGGAAAGAAAAAAAAGTAATCCCCACCCTCCCCCGATGTTACGTAATTTTTGTAGCGCAGGACGCGGGAGTTCTAAACTCCCTCCCAGAAGTCCGCCAATTTTTTTGTTTTGTGCAAACGTGGTTTTGCTTCAACTTCATTTCAGTTTAAATTTTATCGACTCCAGTAGATAATGTTGCGTTCATCCTTTGTTGAGGAGACAGCGAACCCTTGGTCACCGTCCTCTACATATATTAACGTCGGTTCGTTACAAAATATTCTAACTTTCGCTGAAAAGTCAGGTCACATTGACAGGGTAGGTAAGCTTATATCGCCCCGTAAAATATTTCCCTCGTTTTGTCCCGTATTTAAAACTTTCTTAAATAATTTTTAGGCTCAAAAAGAAGGGAAAGACTGAGACTGGCTTACTGGGTGTTACCTTTGGTGCCCGGGAGGTACTTTGGAAATTTCTGGGTATGTGCCGCTGGGACCCAGGGACCCTTAGCCTAAACCAGAGTTAGTTCAGTTGAATTTTGCTACCCTATACTAGAGTAAACTCCTCAAATCCCCCCATCTATCATCACGGTGGAGGCTTATTTGCGTAAATTTAAACTTACCGATTTGACTTTTTCATATTTTTGAGTGGCAATTCCTGGTTTCCTTAGTCTAGGTAAAATCTTCAGCCAACTGGTCAGTTTTGCAAAAAATGATACCCTATTCTAGACCCAAATGCTCTGATTTATATGACGTATCCTAGAGTAAACTGCTTGAAAACCATACCCTCCACAGTGGCACATACCTATATAGCCCATATATGACAGTAGCCACCCCTGGGCTTCGGTGTCTTTGGTTGCTGATAAAGTTTCAGCATGCTCTTGCAAATTTGTTTTGAAAACTTAGCCCTAAGGGTCCTTGTTTTGTTTCTTTTTCATTTAGAGGAATGTTAACATGGAAGAAATTAGGAGAAAAGTGGATACAAGTTCTCCTTCAGTGGCCTTGATAAGATTACTGAGAGAAATTACAAGACTGGGCAAAGCGTTAGACAAGGTAACTTTCAGATAACAGTGCTGCTCTGACTAGGGACAGGGAGAAACATGGAGTGGTGGTGAAATGGATTCTTCTCTTTGCACCCTATTTTTGCTGTGATGCTCATCATTGTTTAATGTATAGATTTAGCCAAGCCTAAAAACAAAGCTCCTGGGCTGGGCTGTTCAAAGCCCAATTAAGGTGGCTTACTACAGTTTTGATGGATTATGACAGCCCAACTGCTAACTCTTTTCAAAAATGTTCCAAGATGTTATTCCTTTCTCTATTTACTGTTTGCTGAAGTCTTTTACCATTCGATGTGAAACTTGAACAATTCAACATCAAGAAATGACCGAAATGAATGACCAAGTACCTAAGGAGAGACTGGGCGCTAGTATGTTAAATCAGGTTTTTCTCAAAATCTACCCGTATGACCCAACCTCAAAATTTCAGGGATAAGAAATTGGCTCTGATTTTTAAATTTTTAAAACATTCATGCAAAGTGAAATAAAAATCTGTAAGACAGATTTTCCGCAAACCAAGAAATTATGAGATCAAAAATAGCTCAAAATCTGTCTTACAGATTTGTTTTAAATTTTGGCTCTAAACGCGATTCACCCCCACAAATCAAATGTGAAAATTTCATCATGGGTTGTATGGTAGGTTTTCGAGCAGTCCTTGATCATAGACTCGCTTCTACAACCTTGGGCAAGAATTGAATTGCGCATGCCCTTTATTTAAGTGCGCTGATGTGACGCCACGTATTACGTGCGAGAAAGCAAGAGTAATTGGAGCTCTTTTACTGGTTATTTATAGAGCTTTTTTGTCATATTTTTTTGGCCCTAGGCTTAAACACATGTTTGAACAGAGTTTGAAACTGTTGCTATTGTTGTGTTTTTTAACGCCTTTCAAGTGCTGAAGTGGTTTTTGTTTCTTCTTAGGGTTACTTGTGTCATTTCTGCATGCCTGATTAATACTGACCTCTGGCAGGCAATACTAGTGTGTGCTACTGAGTCTCAGAAAAACTATAGTAAGCCACCTTAAGCTAACCCAGAATAAGTGCGATTTTTGATTTGAGTTTTGTAGCTTTGCAGTGAGATTTTTTGTTTATATTGTTTGGCCTTGTGTTTTGAGTTTGAATAACTTCAAAATACACAAAAAATAAGCAGTGAAAAACATTTGTATACAAGAAAAATTTATACTTCGCTTAACTTTTAATCCTGAGTTAGCATTAACCGGCTTCCGAACAACCCCGCCCAGATTACAGCAAGTTAACCTGACAAAAGCCTGCAATCCAATCGAAAGCCAGCAGTTGGTCAGCGGTCAACTTAAAAAAAAGCGCATGACCTCAATGAGCTTTAAACTTGAGCCCGCGA